AAGAAGCTATTAGAAACAAGTGCATCGCTACTAGGAACAAGAACGCTGCTAGGAACAAGTGCATCGCTACTAGTAACAAGTGCCTTACTACTAGGAGCAAGAAGCTATTAGAAACAAGTGCAGCGCTACTAGGACCAAGAACGCTACTAGGTGGAGGACTTCGCTAGTAGGTTGGAGGCCATCGCTTCTTTCGCTTTGCACTGCGCAATGGAGTCTCGACTCATAAGCTTGCTTGTGTGCTTTGGTCTAACCCTTGCTTTTTCACGTCAGTGTCCTTTTGTAAGTTGAAGGTTAGGTGTAGCAACTCTTGCAAGCCCACCCACTTGGCCTACAAATTTTCTTTAAGTGTAGAACTCTGAGGGTCTAGAGGTTGAGAGGGATGTAGAGGTCTAGAATGATCCAAACGCCAAGAGATCCAGAGAGATATCTAGAGGCCCAGAGGCCTAGAGATCCAGAGTCCAGAGAGCATGCGGCAAAGCGAGAGAGGAGACGAAAAGAAGAGAAAGGAGTGAAAGAGGGTCAAAATTGAGGGTGACACACACGCGCAGGCCGCCTGCAGGCCGCCCGCCTGCAGCCTGAGAGCACGCACGCACAGTGAGTGCTCTCAGGCAAATCCAGTGTTTCTTAAACTGAGTGTCTTTGTCATTGATGAGAAACATGGCAAGATCTGCCGTCGCCGGCCAGTTGACGGACTTGCCTCTTCCTGTTCTTTTGCCTGCTTTGATTTTTTTCCGTCGGCTGAGACAGCAAGTCTCGCCATGTTGTCGTCCATCCAAGACGCTGCCTGAGCTAGAATTGTGTGTGCCAAAGGTTTCAATCGCGAGTTTGCAGGTTCGCATTTCAGATCTAGCCCGAAGATGCTTGCGTCTCTGTTCTCCAGGTAGTTTGCCCGCTCCTATGCACTGCTTGGGTCCAGAGAGCCCTCACATTGAGTTGATCATTGAAGCACATCACCTGGACTGCCAGAGATGCTTTGCACTCTCCCACCTGCAGAACGAAGCATAAAGAGTCCGCCACATGCTCTGCACGTGTCGACTAAGAAGCCTTCTCGAAAACTGGCATCGACGCGTCGATCTGATGGCATCCCCGTAAGCAAACAACCCAAGCCAACCAGGACGCAGCAAAGGATGTGGGCATAGACGAACACAACTTGTCCAGCAGTGTCGTCCTTGGATTGCTTTGAAGCCAGAATTTGTGGCAAACCATATCCTTGTCCAGCAGTGGATGGCATTTTTCCATGACAACATCTACAAATTAAACACTTTCGTAGTCCCACAGCAGTGTTATTTCAGTTTTATTTCCAAAAATGTTTCTTTCAGGTATATTTCAGTCCCTATTTCAATGTTATTTAAGGTTATTCCAGGGTTAGAACTACTTCAGTCTTGCTTTAAAGGGGTGGGTTTGGGTGGTGTTGATTTCGTGACATCTTCAACAAGGTTTGTGGGTTACTCCTCGGCTGGCCTTGCGTTTTTCTTTCCTGCTTTGCACTGTCTTCCTCTCTAGGTGTTGAATCGAACTTCGGCTTGGGTCAAAATACTGTTTTTCCGTATAGAAATTGGCTGTTTGTTAGAACTCAGGAAGAAGTCGAAGGAGAGCTTGAAGGTCGTGCTTTCCCAGCTCATGCATGAATGGGCTTACGAGGTGCTAGAGCTGGTGGATGGGGATGTAGATGTCCACAAGTTCAACAATTCGTCTAAGACCGCAGAAGAAGATCTCCACGAGCTCTTCAATCAGGGCAAGCAGCAGTTTGAGCAGCTGCCGAGTCACAATCTGCATCGGGACTACACAAAGCACTTCCTCAAGGGCTGCTTCTTCAGAATCAGCCTTCCCACAGAGGGTCCTTTGGATGCTCTAGGTGGTGAAAGGTTGACGATGTTTTGGAAATCGAAGTCAGAATTAAGGAACTGACCCAAAGATGGAGATTGACAACTGGATCGGTCTGGTCTCCCAATCCATCTTCGCACCGCTCCTTTGGCTGGATTTGCTGCAAGCTTTGTGTCAGGTTCCATCTCTGTGAGTAGAAGGCCGCTGAGCTGAGATAGCTTAGGAATGAGAAGTTGGTTGGGAAAGCCGCCTTTGAGCGGACCTTGGACATTGCCTTCACGACCTCCCTTTGTCGCACCTTCCAACATGCATTGACGGAGTTTGACGCGGACTTCATCAATACGGTTTGTTCTAAGTATTCCCAGGAGAGTGTGATTAGTGTTAGCTGCGGTGTTTTCTTAAGCCTGACTTGGCAAGACAGAATTTTGTAAAGCGATTGCAGCACTGTGGAGGACACGGGGAACAAAGTCATCCAGCAGTTTGTGAAGCGAGTTCTGCTGCCGGGATCGCTGCATCCTATGGTGGATGTAGTCAGCCTCCTTGTTCTGAAACATTTGCAGACTTGCTTCACGCGGTCTGACAAGCCTTATTCTGAAGAGACTAGGTGCCTCAAGGACTGACTTTGTTAAGGACTACTAGCAAAGCCATTGGACAAACTGCCGCTGCTCTGCAGCCGTCTTAACTTCAGGCTTTGGTTCTTCATTTGTTTCTAACTTCAACTTGTTCGTATCCACCATGCATGCTGATCGGAGAGGAGCTAAAACCCGAAGAATATTTCAATGCATCCGCCAACCACTATGCTGTGTTGTTGGTGCAAGAATTCAACAGAGATTCTGAGCATAAATTCAGACTTGCAAGTGCACGGTTTAGCGGGATACGTGTTTTCAAATGAGTGGTCCTGAGCTTAGGACTTGCATGAGCGTCTGGAGGAACACGGTGCGCTTCTTCAAGGACGCTGCCGGAACGGAGAGAGCAATTTTGCCCTGGACAACAACTGCTCTGGACACACCTTACCTGGTGATGCGTTCTATGCTGAGTCTTGCTCAAGCATTTGCAGGCTCTTGTTATACTGAACCATTGCTCCTTGTGTTGATGTCCAGCAAGGACGCTACTAGGTGGAGGCCATCGCAAGTAGGTTGGAGGCCATTACTAGTAGGAGGAAGGACGCGACTAGGTTGGAGGCCATCGCTACTAGTAACAAGAAGCTACTAGTAGCAACGTATCTGCACCCCATGGGTTCAACCCATCAAAATCGAGGAGAATCAGGGATGCTGCCCACCATTTCCGCTGAGGATTTGGCCGCTGAGAACTTTTGCAGTGCTGCCTCGCACTTTTTGAAAATGGGTATGCAGGTTCTTGGGAAAGCTGGGGTCAAAAGCCAGTACTCTGACGGCAGTGAGTGTCAAATCAGCTGCGGTTTCATTTCCACTTTCCAGTAATCTTGCGGCGGTTCGTTTTCTGTCGTAGGCAAGCTGTCTATTTTTATGAACTATTATTGGCGTCTGCTGCGCAGAAGAACTCTCAGATGAACGAGAAGGACATGTTGCTTGCTGCAGTCAGAACCATGCAAGCCGTGGATGGAATTGGCTAGGAATTGATCATCCATCCTGTAAAGTATATAATGACTTTGCAGTTTCAGCTGCTACTGCTGTTAATCCTGCGAGGTTTCCCTTGGGAGTGGAAGCCAAATCCGTTGACAAGGTGGAAACCTCATGTTGGTCTCAGAAATACTTTGCCCGGTGGACCTGTGTGCTGGACCTCTCCACGTTTGATTTCTGTGCCAAGTGAGAGCTTGCTGGCTTCAGGTACGAAAGTTACGATCGCTGCCTATTCCCGCGAACAAGACCATCGCAATAACGATGGATGTGAAGTTCCAGCAGCAAACTTCCACCAAGACGGAGCAGCCAGGTATAATGAGTACCTTGCGGAACGGAGATAAATCATCGCAAGCAGGTGCAGAGGACAAGAAGTTGGTCGGAATGGAGCTCCAAGACATGCGCTCCGACGAAGGCCTGCTAGACGAGAAGGCCCGAAGACGAAAAGGAATGCGTTGGCAAGTTGATCTTGGAATCTTAGCGCGTGGCAACGCTGCAAGCAACGCTTGGCTGATGTTAGCGTTTCCTCATTGTCAGATTGGAATGTTTGCTGAAGGAACCTTGTGGGCCTTTTGTCCAAGTGGCGTTGAATGACTTTAAGGAGAACAAGTGGTTGCTAAGCAGCTTGGTATACAAGTGGTGAAGTCAACGCAGCGTGTTCGAGTGGTTCCGCTGTAGGCAAGAGCTGCAAGTGTGGCGAGCCCAAACCGGTTGTGACCTTTGAGGACCGTAACAAGGGCATCGCTACTAGCAGCGTCCTTGCACGGTCTTTCCTACTTAGCTTGTTGCTGAGCTTGCAGCACTCTTGCCCCAGGAGGACGAGCTGAAGCAAGCAAACATTTCAGATCGGTTTATCACGGTTGATGTGCTCGTCAGACAGTGCGGAGTGAGCGTTACTTCCTGGAGTGGCTTCATCTTTGCCTGGCATGTTTTCTGAATGTATGTGCAGCTGCGTGACGAATCGCCAAGACTGGTGTGGTTTAGAATGAACACTGTTCTAGTAGCTTCTTGTTCCTAGTAGCGAGGCCAGGAGCCCCTAGTAGCGTCCTTGCTCTTAGTAGGCATGCCAGGAGCCTTCTTTTTCCTAGTAGTAAGGCCTGGAGCCCCTAGTCGCGCCCTTAATCCTATCCCCCCCCAATCTTATCCCCCCCCGGCGCGCACCGTGCGAAAAGGTCCTAGTAGCTTCTAGTTTCAATTCCAATTAAATTCTAATTAGACTTAAGTTAATTTTAGTTCTTTTTTTATTTATTTCTTGTTTCTAATAGCTTCTTGTTACTACTAGTAGTATGGCCAGGAGCCCCTAGTAGCCAACATTGTTGAATGTGGCTCCGAATGACCACTTTGCACTCTGCCCGTTTGAAAGGCATTGGCAATCCGCAGGCTCATGAAGCAGGCAAGGTCAGACGGTTCGCTGTGCCACAGTGGTCATGGAAGCTAATGCGGCAAGGCCACCGGAACCCTGAGACAAGCGTGGACTCTGCAAGTTTGGACGCCAGTGATGCAGAGGCCGATGGCGAGGAGCTCTTGTTTGGCTGTGTTTGGCTACTTGTTCGGCCTGTGTTGTTTCAAAACTGGGCCATGCAAACTCACTCACGTCACGAACTACTCTCCTTGACCACCGTTGCAGGAAACTTTAGAGCAGGAAGTCGAGGAGGGGGTGGTCTCAAGCGAGATATTGAAAACAGCAGCAAGCTTGGTGAATGATATGGCGAGTTGCTCGGCAAATCTATTCTAAAGGGCGCCTGACAAAGATTTCGTGTTGAGGGGCGTGATGTGACTTCTGAAGACTTCTTCCATTCTTCAGTTGGAGCCCATCGCTATTAGGTTGGAGGCCATCGCTATGTCTTTTTTCTTTCAGATTGACGTGATGTGACGAGGTGCTTTCAAGCCACTACCTGGCTCAAGAGACGGTGGCCCTCGAGACTTCCGGAAGCTTCTCGTTGAGGCGAGCTGCGAGCTGGTGGAGCAAGTCATCAGCTTCCGGGAAATCTTGGAGAAGAGGCCTGCGGCCGACAGCGCCTGCGCTTATCTGCAAAGTTTTGGCTGAGTAGCTTATGACATTTCACCAGCAAAGCATAGATGGAACCACGTTTTTTGATTAGCAGTTGGTTTTGTGGATGCATGTGTCAGAATTGGCGTAATGTTTGTTTGATAAGTTGATAACCACCTTTGGCACCCTGAGTATCAAGCGAGTATTTAAGGTAGAGGCTCCAGGTTGAAGTTTTATTGATTGTACAATGTTGTTGCAGGCTGGAGAAATTGAAGCTCACTGCCAAGAAGTACCTTGGGCACAAGATGAGCACAGGAGATGCAGCTGAATCGGTCCCTGCCTCATGTAAAGTGCCTCGTGTCTCAGACTGTCTGGCAGTTGATATAGTTGCTCGTGAAGCCAAGGTGTTGGATGAACTCTGCAAGGGTAGCAAGAAGCAGCTCAAGAAGCTCGAAAAGTTGGATGGCATCCTGGAGAAGGCTGTGCCCTGTTGATCTAACTCAGAAGGTTCTGCTAAACACAAGCCTTTTGTTCTGCCCTCCTGGAGATGGATGATTGTGCAGCTGTTGTAAATAGAAATCCTATGGTTCAAAAGCAGGAGATTTACTTCTCAAACCATCACTGGCTTCGATTCTGTACTGGGTTGCGTGCTTGCGTTTGTTGATGCACGCTTGCTTGGGGTTGCCCCCTCGCAGTAAGCTCCATGGTTTTCGCCAGGCCTTGCGCCTGCATCGCGAGTTCAAGAATCCGGACCCAGACTCCGACAGTGATTGAAGTGCCACTGTGAAGAACATCAGGGTGGAATCAATATTTTACCTTGGATCAATTGTGTGGTTTTGCCTTGGAGCACTTCGTCAATGTCAATATGTTGAACCACAATTTCAATTACTCACTCCAAAAGACCTCATCACTGCATGAGCTTGCGTGGCCGCTCAAGAGTTAAAGTCGCTTGCAGTCGTTTAGTTTGATTGCAAGGAGGTTCTCGTCTCCAGTCTTTTTCATCATGCCCTGGCTCAAGCTTATGGTTTCAACCAGGCCCTGCTGTAGCGCGGTAATGAGTGAATGAACAGTCATTGAGATGACTTGGAAAAACATTTGAGACAAACAGATTTCAGAACAAGTGACACCAGCACTTCATTGGACACCTTCAATGTGTCAGGTCTGTGTGCATGTTGCATGTTGCAAAGCATGTTGCATTGTGTCCGGATGCAGAACTCATGTGCCTTCATTTTTCAGAAGGCGTGTTATGGCCTCCATCAAAATGATCTCAATTACCAAGTTGCCTGAGTTCAAACAACATTGTCCACTTGAAAGAACTTCATGTCACAACGCGCAATGAAGAATGGTAGGATGGCCATGCTTGCTCCTGTTTAGTTGTTTCTACGAAGCTCAAGCCAAGCTGTTTTCGTCGACTGACGCCACTAGCTCAAAGAAAACACTCTGTGCGAGGAGGGCATGCAAGCATACTGATCTGTTCTCTTCCTCACCGCTTCACATGTTTTTGCATGTTCTCTCAAAGCTTGCATGCTTTTCTGACATTTTAGCAGTTCCGGCACATCTCAACTTGCATGCTTTCCCTGGACCATAAAGCTGATGTTTCATTTCAATTGAAACCTCAGTCGCAGCTAAGTAACTGAACAAATCTCCAACCTATTGCACATGTTGATCAATTCGATGAAACATATCTACCTGTTTGAAATGATGAGAGAATGGAAGGGAGGGCACCTTGCCAATGGACCTGCTCTTAATTTTGCAAGTGCTGCTGCATCAGAGAAGAGCGTGTGAAAAGGTCCTAGTAGCTTTTTGTTTCAATTCTATTCTACAGCTTCTTATTGTTTCTACTAGCTTCTTGTTCCTAGTAGTAAGGCCCTTGCTCCTAGTAGCGATGCCAGGAGCCCCTAGTTGCAACATATCTGAGGTAAAAAATTCGACGTCAGGCGGGGTGATGGTGATGCCCTTTTCAATCCTGTTACTAGTAGCGATGCACTTGTTAATAGTAGCTTCTTGTTACTACTAGTAAGGCACTTGTTACTAGTAGCGATGCACTTGTTACTAATAGCTTCTTCTCTCCATATTCTTACGGAGAATCCTGCAGGCTCTCGTTCCGGACGAAAAAACCGCCAGAAGCTGTTTGAATCCGGAGGCCGCTTGAGATGGAGCAGATTTGTGTATTTTAAGGAAACAGTTCTATTTCTTTCCGTAGGAAACATTCAAACGTTCCATTTGCTTCTTGTTACTAGTAGTAATGGCCTCCAACCTAGCTGCGATGGCCTCCACTTAATAGCGTCCTTGCTACTAGTAGCTTCATGCTTCACGTGAGTGATTTGTGAGATGAGCAGCGATGCCCGCGGCACAAGCAAGTGCAACTTGGCAACAAGTGTGCTTACATGAAGTTTGGTGACACTCTGTAAGGGAAGGAAAGGAAAGAAAGGAAGGGACAGAAAAGAAAGGGGAAGGGCAACCCGGTCGAAAGACCCAAAGAGAAAGAAACGGCCACTCATAATTAGAGAGAAGAACAAACCGCCGTAAACAAAACGAGAAGCTACTAGGAGCAAAGGGCATCGCTACTAGGAACGCTACTAGGGGCTCCTGGCCATACTACGAACGGAGCAAGAAGCTATTAGCTTATTGTTTCTACTAGCTTCTTGATACTACTAGTAAGGCACTTGTTACTACTAGCGATGCACTTGTTACGACGAACGGAGCAATGTTCGCTACTAGGAGCAAGTGCATCGCTTCTAGTAACAAGCGCCTTACTAGTAGTAACAAGAAAGCTATTAGAAACAAGTGCATCGCTTCAGGTGCGGAATTGCAGTGGCCGCCACAGCGTTTATGTGGAGCGGAACTTAAGAGAGAGAGAGAGAGAGCACAAATCTCACGCCAGCTCTTGTAACTTGTATTTTGCAATAGCCTTGTCGCAGAAATCACACAAAAACACCAAACGGCCATGCGAAAGTTCATGCGTTGGTCAGTCTCGCTCGCATCCTTGCATTCCAAATTCTCAAGGTGTGTCTTGCTCCTCTCCACTTGGCGAGTACTGGAAAAGGACCATTCCGCATTTTCGTCTCCGCAATGCCGCGCAACAAGAAGCTACTAGGGGCTCCTGGCATCGCTACTAGGAGCAAGGACGCTACTAGGGGCTCCTTGCCTTACTACTAGTAAGAAGAAGCTAGTAGGGGCTCCTGTCTGCCATTTTGCATCATTTTGACAAGGATGGGCCAAAGATGCCAGATCCGAACATGCAACCGGTCAGAGTCGTAGATGCGACATCCAACACATGTGACACGTGATGCAATTGATGCGTGTTATACGTGATCCCTAGCATCTTGCGAGGTCATCAAAAGCCTGCAAAGCAGGATCATGACCTTGGAGAAAGAGCTCGCGCAAGCCAATGAGGTCGTTCTTTTTCTCACGGAAGTGATCGTTTGGTTCCTTCACAGGGACCTCTTGACACTTTGCATGTTTGGAACTGACACTTGAGTGGCAGGCCCTGGTCCAAAAGGATCAAATTCTGGTTTGTTCCTTAGAGCACTGTTTGTTCAGCTTCATGCTTTGACTTATATGAAGTCTTTGTTCTTTAGGCCGAGCTGCGAAACGTGCCAAAGGACTCAAAGCAGGTTGTGCAAACACAACAACCTGAGCTGGAAGCTTAGGAAGGAGATGCCCGTGTGTTTGGTGAAGCTTCAGCGTGAAGAGTTCAAGCACGATAAACTTATGCCACTGTGCCTTGCCAGATTCGTGCAAAAGACTAAAGCGTGTGACACCCAGTGCGGTTTCTTCAATTCAATTTTTCTTCAATTTTTCAATTCCAAAAAAAACACGGCGCAGCAAACTTTGCAATCTTGTTTTGCTTTTCAAAGTGAGGCTCCAACTGCGCGGTTCTAGTGGGACTACTGAGCCTGAAACCACCGCCCAACATGGAACGTGCGATTTCCAAGAGAATGCGGATTACACCATCATGGGAGGCCGCTTCCTTTTGCCAAATATCAGTCCAGAAATAAATTGTTGGTTGGAGGCCATCTAGCGTTAGCATAGCTTAATGTGCAGGAAGCTACTAGTATTCACCATGGGAATTCTTGTGCAGCTTTTCAACTCCAGAGATGTCACCGGACATGCGTTGAACACTGATTGTTTAAAATTGTTACTAGTAGCTTCTTGCTACTAGCTTCTTGGAGGCCGAGGGAAAGAGGAGCTGGCCAAGTCCAATTCAAACAGGGCCACGCACCCAGAGAGACCTCTAGGTCTTGGCCTTAAAGAAGAAGAATGATTGAACACACTTGAGTAGTTAGTCTTCAAACAAGTGTTTAACTCCTGTTTGCTCCAAGAAGTGAAATCTGGTCTTCATGTACACGGTCTGAAGCTAGGAGCTTTGCTCAAGTTTGCAAGTTTTCATGCATCACAGGGAGAGTGCTGCCAGCTATGCCAGCAACGGAACCGAGCAGCGCTCGTGGAGCTTGGCAAAATTATCGGATGACACCCAAGTGACACGAGAGTGACACAAGAGTGACGCAAGAAAGGAAGGAAAGAAGAAAGAAAGACCCGAAGAAAGAAACCGCATACTAGGAGCAAGGACGCTACTAGGGGCTCCTGGCCTTACTACTAGCAGCAAAGGACGCTACTAGGGGCTCCTGGCATCGCTACTCACAAAACTTGCGCAACGCATCCGCGCTTCCCATGGCCCTTCACTGAGTTGGTGGGTGCCAAGGAGTGTGGTGAGATATCATGACGTGAAAAGATAACAATGAGGCTGTTCAGATCAAAGTCAACTAGCTAAGTGAAACCGAATATCCGCGCATCGCTACTAGGAGCAAGGACGCTACTAGGTTCCTTGATTGACTCGAACGGAGCGTTCGGACGCGAACCGAATTCGGGGCGACCCTGGCCAGGGATCCTGCACCGTTGCAGTCCTTAGCTCCGCTTCTGACGCTCCTCCTATGGCGTGCTGGATCAAGGCGTGCTGGATTTCTGGTGGCTTTCACTCAAAAGTGTCACTTTCCGAAAAAAAGCACCGAAGTGCTTTTCTCATCTTGGTAAAGTTGAGGGTTCAGGATTTTGTACATTTTAGCTTTTGACCACAGTGTTGACACTCACATCACCCCAGTTTGACAAGTTGATTGCTGGAGGCCACTCCACAAATGGGAGTACGCATCATTGGCATCCTCAAGCCACATAGAAAGGATGGAGCTGGAACCCTGGAGTCTTGTAGCGTAGCCTATCGTGGCATTCCCAATCAGGCTGCTTTTCATCTTCTTTACATTCCTGGTGAAAGAATGTTTCAAAAGAACATGTGTTTCTGATGTTTTGCTGAAAAACATGGTCTTTTCGTTGTTTAAACTTTTGTTTTGTTTTGTTTGTTTTGGTTTGTTTTTGGTCTCAGGTGGTGGCCTGTTTTCCTCCAGGGCATAGCGACATTCCCTCGCTTCCGCCCACTCTGCCACCAGCCGTGGCCTGAGAGATGGAGTTTGGGTGCACGAAGCACCTGAGGTTCTTCCTTTTCTACTAGGCAGGAAAAGTTTTCACAGTTCATATTTCTTTTTTTCTTTTGAACCTTTCTTTCTTTCCTTTCTTTCCTTCCTTCCTTCCTTATTTTTTCTGCTCCTTAAAGAACAACGTGTATTTTTTCCTTTTCTTGTATCCTTTTCCTTTTTCTTTTGCACAAGGAGTAGTACCCGAAGGCAGTCCGCGTATGCAATTTGACTTTCTCTCAAGAAGTACAGTTGATTTCAATTCCAACTCTACCATGCTCCGGATTGTCTATTGGTTTGCACCGTCTACTGAGGACACCGCCATACTTGATCATGAGAAAGGCCGCAAACTCTGTGCGATTCAGGTTGCAAACCACTCTTTGAAGGAACAATTCTTTCCGGACAAGGAAGAACATATAAAGTCCAGACCACTCCCAAGAAGTGTGACCACCAACTGATATCAACCAGCTCCACTTTGCCTTGTTGGCAATTCCAGACCTCCGTTTTGACACCTAAGACCTTGCATCACAAGCAGATACAGGCATTCATCAATGTGTTTTGCAATGAAGTTTCGAAGAATTGGACTCAGGTATAGCATCGTTGCTCCCTGCGACACACTCGGTGAAGTTCTTCAAACGAGCGCAAACCGTGGCCCCTCGTCTCAGGGTATTGGCCCAGCGGCGCGGACGAATGCCATCCGTGATTCGCCAGAATCCCAAGTGTGTGTTTCTACTAGCTTCTTGTTACTACTAGTAAGGCACCTGTTACTACTAGCGTGGCACCTGTTACTACAAGTGTGTGTGAGAGTGTGTTAGTCTCGTTGTCTTTTGTGGCCGTCGCTCTTAGGTTTTATGAAAAACCGCCTTATTTTCTTTCGAACATCACGACGTTTTGATGTCAGGATCCGACATGCGTGGTCTCGCTACAAGCAGCTTGCTTGGGGAATGGACGAGCTATTGCCGATTGCTGGAAGGAGCGGATCCCTCCCTGAGCTCGCTCAGTGCTCGCAGCTTTTCAGTGAATTGTTTTTGAAGAGGGGCGTTCGAAGCTTGGCTTCCAAGTTGTGCTTCAGGGGCCGAAATCGTGGCTTTTCTCTGGCAACAACTATGGTAGACTCGTTAGACACGTCGGGCCCATGGCAAAGAGTTGAGCAATGTAAGAAGCCGAAGAGTGGAACGCGTGAGGTTGTGGCTGGCGGGACTTCGAGATGAGTTCGATGAAGCCAAAGATTGGCTTGTTGGGGGTCCTGAGAAGTCCTGAAACCGATAAAACACAAGCAAAAAGAGATGAACAAAGGAAGGTAAGGCCTCTTTAAAGGGGTTCGTACGGTCTTACCTTCCTTCTTTCCTCTGTTCTCTTCTTCCTTAAATAGGCTTTTGGACACTTCGTTTACTTCACTCTGGAAGAGTGAACCGATCACCAGAAGCAGAGCACAAGTCAAGCATAACAAAGCGGTGCAAAGCGAAGCAAAGCGCTGCAAAGCGCACGCTTTTTACCTTACTACTAGGAGCAAAGGATGCTACTAGGAGCAAAGGGCATCGCTTCTAGTAACAAGTGCCTTACTAGTAGTAACAAGGACG